TGCACAATAACACGGTCATTAGAATAGGTAGAATGCTTTAGTGCTATCTATGATAGAAATGTGACTAGGTAGAATGCTTTAGTGCTATCTATGATAGAAATGTGACTAGTCACTTTGCTTATTTTATGTTAAAACGGAGCCTAATTATTCTTTTGAAAGTATCTAAAACTAAATTTTAGATAGGCATCATTAAAATTGAGACATACGGAATTCTAGTTTAACTACTCACAAAATAACATCTATAATTACATTTGTACTAGCAGAAATATATTTTAGATGTCAAGAATTGTATTTCTAGATAACCTTAATGTTATATTCATTTTTGATATCCAAAATAGTAGTTATGACTAGAAATAACTCTATTAGGGAGATCAGAAATTAGAGTTAATCTGAGTCAGAATTCATTTTAGATAGGAAGAATGTTTATTTTAGGTATCTGGAAGTAAAAGCACAAAACACATGAGTGGGAAATGTTACGTCATTTGTGCTAGTAAGAATTACATTTCAGATATCTGAAATGTTTATTCTATATAGGAAGAATGTTATTTTAGATATCTGAAATGTTCGTTTGCATTTGAGATATCTGGATTACATATTCAGTCACGCTAATAAATGTCAAAACGGTCTGCCATAGCCGTCCAAATACGGGATCTGATGGAAGATGCAGCGAAATAAAAATGAAATCAAGGTGAGACAGTAAACTGAGACCCACGTGGAAAGCCTGGCTTGGATCGGAGGCTTCTGCGCATGCGTGAGCAGGCTGGGCGGTCCTCCGCTGCTCCCCCATCGGGGCTCCGGGCCCCGTGGGAGGCAGAAGGCATCTAGGAGCGCTCCGGACCGCATGACGGGGACCAGCGGCTCCCGGGAAAAACAACAATGACCGAAAAGTCCTAAATAAATGGTTCAAAATGAAGTCCAGCCAGCGGTGGCTTCTGTTTCTATTGTTTCTACCTCTATCAGGTGAGATCTGGTTTATTATATCTACCTTTTATGGACAGAGTTAATATTATGTTTCCTTTATTATTTAGAAGCTTTCAAAACGACCTTTAATATTATTAGGAAAGTTTTAATAGCCTATATTAATGTTAAAGCCAATTTATAGGAATTTTGTGAATATTTTATTCATATAAAATGTAATATTTATTAAAATTTAAACTGAATTAAATCATTTTATAGATCTAAAACTGTGAAATAGAAATAATATTTTAATAAAAGCAAATTTTATGTAGTATGTTTTTCTTAATGGTCCTAATTCCTTTTTTTTTTTTTGCTCCTAATGTGTTGCTGATCTTCCCTTTAGGTGTTTTATGCTTTAGTGAGCTGTCCTTTATCACGGAGCCCAGTGATGTTACAGCTCTACCAAAGGATCCGGTGACGTTGGACTGTCAGGCTCATGGCCAGCCGCCAGTCACCATCAAATGGCTCAAAAATGGACTTAAGCTGGCAGAGAGCGAACATTTCAAGTTTCTGCCCAACGGCTCCTTGTACATACCAAAGATAAAGCACACCAAGGAGGATTCAGATGAAGGATTTTACCAGTGCCTCTCCCAAAACAAATATGGAGCTATCCTAAGCCAAAGATCACGCCTGACTATCGCACGTAAGTATGGAAAGTAAAATAAAAAAAAACCTTTATAGCCATGAGTTATGGCTGTTTACACTTGTTCTTCCATGTTCCAGCATTAGGGTGAAGTTTGTGGATTATAACCCTAAAGATGAGAAGCAGATGTAGCCTTTAGCCTTTTCCTTTTTTATGTATCTCAGGCAAACCTGTTAAACTAAAGCCTCCATGTTTTAAGGTCAGTCGTAGCGGCACTGAGGAGATTGTAAAATAAAGGAGAGTCCATCCAAAAGCTCATAAATGCTCTATAAATAGGAGCAGCACAGCTTGTGTTCTTTCACTTTTTTAGCACCAATCCTCCCTTATTTGACTGTAACTTTGAAACTTTACCAAAAAAACTATATTAACTATTCAGTTCAGATGTGAGAGTGTTGCAGACTGTGGATCTACGGCCCAGAGCAGCGAGGAATCTCTGAATGGCCATTTGTCTTTCAGCTTTTATTTGGAGTGCCCCTGACTGGTCCATAAGAAAAGGCTCCATTTCAGGGGGTTTGTTTGTCCACATATCAGTGGACGAGACAGCTGCGCCTATTCAATGAGACTGGCCTACCGTGCACAATCTTCAAGGGGGTGTAAGAAAGGATATCCCATGGCTGGTGTCATGGAGACTGGATCGGACCCCACAGTCAACTATTTTTGACTCTCATGTTTTTTTAGGAAGGTTTCCTACATCGGCCCTGTTCTGATCTGGGCAGCGTTCGTTCCTCCTTATTACAATGATGGAAATTTATCAGAGTGAAAACATATTACAGAGACTTTGGTTAAAGAGTAACAGGTTATGAATTAAAATAAGGTTTGTTTGGGAAAAGGTTTGTCTTTTCTAAAAACATCCTCAATCAGGTAATATGTGGCCTTCCTGGTGAAACAGACAGAATGAAAAGTTTTATAGTGAGTAAATAACATCAATTAATATATGAAATAAGAGACACAACTCACAGTTTGTGCATAGCGATGTAAAGAAATAATAAACATTTTATTTTCTATATATTGACCACATAGATAAATTCAAATTCAAGTTTGAGCCGGTCTCCAGCCCCATTCAGTGAAAGGGTTAAAGGTTGCCGGTCAGCTGGAGGGAGGAGTGGAGGAGGGGACTCCTCTGCGCTCCCCTTCTGTCCAGAGGTCCCAGGGGTCAAGGGTCAGCACTGGAAAGGCATTGTGATGTCACAGGCCTGCTGTGACTGGGGAGCCCCTCTGTTGTTCCTCATGCCCTTCAGTCCCTTTCACCGAATCGGGGCCTCTGTGGCCCCGTCAAGGGTGGGGCTTTTGTTAAAGGAAGGCCAGTTTTTCATGGGAACGAAGGGGCCACAGTGAGAAGAGCTGGCTGCTAAAAAACCAGGAAGTGCATTGATCTGTGTGATATACCAGGAAGAGCATAGATCTGAGTGATAAACCAGGAAGTGCATAGATCTGTGTGATATACCAGGAAGAGCATAGATCTGAGTGATAAACCAGGAAGTGCATAGATCTGTGTGATAAACCAGGAAGTGCATAGATCTGAGTGATAAACCAGGAA